AGTTGGCAACACTGGGGGAGGCTCCAACTCGATGGGGAGCAGCAAACGCATCTGGTGGAAGTTGGCCGTCATGATACCAGACACTTGAGGATTCTTTGGACAAATACCCGATACGACATTCCTGGAAAGTGCATGCAGAAGATGAAGATGCAGCTGGAATTCAGACGTCTCAGGACAAATGAAGCAGAATGTCACGAGCCCGGTGTGTAAAACAAGGAGGAGGTGGACCCAACTGCAGAAACTTCAAATAAGATTTATTTTAACAAAAAGCCAAAAACTCGGAGTCCAAACACTAGAGCAGAAAACAACCGACATCCAACATAGACTTACAACAATGAACTGACACAGAGGGGACGAAACACAAAGACTAAATAGACACAGGGGTAATCAGACACAGGTGAGACTAATGACACAGGTGAAGACAATCAGGGCAATCAACACTGGGAAACACACAGGCAGGAATAAAATACAAAAAACACTGAGGAGAACTACAAGACTCAGTCATGAAACTATGAAACATTAAGACAAAAACACACAAGGGGAACAAGCAACACCAGGATAAAGAACAACAAGGAAACCTAAACTTTGAAATAGACAAAATACAAACTAAAGACTGAATCATGACACAGAAGCTCAAAGTGTTAGTCTAAAAACACCTCTCTTTTAAATCCTGATTTATGTCACTGGTATTACACACCAGACTGTACCCACATAAAAAAAACAACAACATGTGCATCACTCCCTGGACAAAAGTTACTTAGATGGCAAATTACACAATCTGCACAAACAGGGCTTCATTTAAAAATCTTCTTCTGTGTTTATTTTGGGTGTTTATGTGCGTGTTAAGGAGACAGATGGAGACAGTGAGGTTATGCATTGTCTTTAAATCTTCGCCTGAGCTGACATGTCAGCCGTGCTTATTTTTAGATGCATTTCTTCTTGTTTTGCTCTGACATGATTTATTAAGGAATAGGAGCTGTCACTCTCTCATCTCGTCCTCTTTGTGTTTTACATTAAAAGGGCATTTTCACTGGACTGGATCTGGAGCTTTGAAGGATTATGAAACAGACATAATAAATGTATGTGGCTTGTAAAGCTTCTTTTAGACCTCCACAACTTTTCAAACACACTTGGCCAACGGGACGTCGTTGAGAGTTTTAAAGCCAGGTGTTGGTGTCATGATGTAGCTTCAGCATCATTCAGATGCATTTCAGAGATCCATGTCCTCATAAGAACGTGTCACAACAGTGTGTAACTTTTATTTGCTCTGCTAAGATTTATGTTAAAGTAAACATCCACCCACCAAACAGCTGTTCTGTCCCCACTCCTCATCCCCATGCTGCCTCATTAAATCCAGAAAAACCTGATTTATTCACATTCACACGTTCACACACTGACAAACTGCTCCTGCAACTTTTACTACACTACTACTACTTTTTATGTTACAAAAAGCCTCTGAAATATGCATAACTAATTTTGAATCTCATTCCAAAGCGTGCAAGTAGAAAGACTGACCAATAAACGATAAACCAGAAAACAACAACAGAGCCAGAAATTCAGTGATTTTAACGGACTCTCATGACACACTACATGGTGGTACCAGACCGATCATCAGCCAGACTTCAACAAACTGTTCCTCTGTCTCATTTCTCAATTTCACAGCACCAACTTCATGTCTCCTTTTTCGCGTCACCATTCTGTGCGTGCAGAGCGCTCTGTTCTCTCATTGGTCATCATAACTAACGGAACAGAACAGATTGTACAAAGCAGAAAGAAAACTAAACCTTGAAAAGAAAAGTCAATGTTAAAAGGCCGAACAGCACACAGCCGGCTCATCCAGATTCATCAGACACGCAGAGTTTTTGAGAAACAAGGTAAAATGGAGATAGGATGATAGCGGTAGAATTTTGGCCTTTTTTGGGGACAACACCAGTGGCCAGAGATCGGCCTGGGATATGAGTGAGAGGTTCCAATGTGTAATCTAACAGAACTACCAATTTCATCACAGCCTACATAGGTGATTTTTTAGATTTTTAATGACATCACTTACTTCCTTTAGCTGTGGGGTGTGGGGGCTCAAAATTAGAGATGCAGTCATAACTTTTTTCAAGTCATCTAAAGGCTTGCGCACCGTGTTGTCGATGTTATTTCAGAGAGAAAAAGTTATTAAAGCCAAAAGAGATTTCATTTGGATCACTAATGAGTTTATCACCATTTAGAAACTGAGTTTGTATTCACATCAGGAAAACATTCGCTTTCTTTGGTCCGGACTAAATAAAATGTTCCTTTTTTTGGTGCGGTTGATTTTCACATTGCACTTTTCGCAAGACGCCCAGAATTTGTAAACAAAACCACGAGTGCCAAGATCGTTCAATCATTGGACAGAAAGGTCTGGGGCGGGGTAAAGCAGTGATCGCAAAGTGAAAGTAAACAATCATGGAGATCTTGCGTGCTGCTCTCGTTGTCCTGGTATTGATTTGGTTCTTACAGTTACAAACGTTTGCAGAACATTTTGAGCAGCAAGCGCGTTTGATACAGCGTCGTTTTTATGTATATGGTCCTCTGCCCAAATATCCAGGAGACAGCGTGTCTCCTCGGCACTCCATGTTGAACCACAAATCATTTTTAGCAAACAACAGCACTGTGCTGCTAACCAAACAATTATCACCCATAATGTTCGTGGGCAACGGGAGCCTGTTACGTCCATAAAGGCGTATGATTTTTAGTACTGGGTTGGACTGAGGGCCGGTCACTTTCACATCTCAAATGAACCGTGGGTTCGTTTAGAAGCAGCTGTTTGGTGCTCACCCGAGTTCGATGGTTTGTATTCACACCTGCTCAAAAGGTCCGCACCAGGGTTTTAGTTGGTTTCAAGCGAACTAAACAACGTAGGTGTGAATACACCCTGAGAACTAGTGCATCATGATGTTTTCTTCATTAGCAGTTGGTTGATAATATTCAATGTAGATTTGATATTATGTATTGATTCTTTAAACTTCTTTGAAAAGTATATTTTCTTAACTGTATATAAAATATGCACATACTCATTTTTGTAAGTTTTATATTCTTTCAAATTAAGGGGAGTTGGATTTTATATATATTTTTTGTCTAACTTGTTTTTTTTCTCATAATTATTGTGTTTAATATTTAATATAACTTTTACTTGAACTCTCGGCCTGCTGTGCTCACCAGGAACATTTGTGCTGCAGACGAGGTTTTAAAGTCTGAACAGGACCCCTCGGCCTTGTCATTTCTGTACACCTTTAGGACTAAAGAAGCTGGTGACTCATCATCATTGCATCCCTTTTTTATTTATACAAGCACAATGGAGGCATAAAATGAGTTTTTCTGATAAATGCTGGTGAGGCTGATAAAAAAACAAACCTGCAATTCTTCTTTATATTCACTCGTTTTTATTGATCCAGATCCTTTAGTCCGGATTAATTCAAACCGGTCTCCCAGAGAGGAGACTGGCTGACATACAGTTTATGACATTTACAACGAAAGAACAACAGAAAAAAAAAACAGACCACAAATAAAAAACAAAAACAAACAACGTAACAAAAGCAAAACAGTGACAGATATATAATTCACTTACTAAATGAGGTAATATGTACAATCAGTAATCCTTAATCCATAATAGTCCATGACCACATACATGTATCGTACAGACAGCATCGAGTGGTTCATGTTGGTTTTTCTATGTAAATACCAGGACAAATATAGATGAATGTGCAGTTTTATATAAATTAGATAAGGCACTTCAAACGTATAAAAGCCGAATGTTAAGTGATTCTCAAAATAAAGGTACAAACATTCACAGTCATAATTCTAATACAGTAAAATACAGTTTTTTTAATTTAACAATAGGTATGACACAACCTGATGTACACAGTAGGGCTGTCAGTGTTTACATGTTAATTGTAATGTGATAAAGGTAAGAATAGTTTTTAACGCATTAACTTCGTGGTATTTTTGTCCCTTCAGGCTCTCCGTAGATACTCGTCCTCAGTGTCTCCCTGTAGTCTCAGTGATGGAAAAGAAGAACACTGCTGCATCTCTGAATGTCTCATTTCACTTCTCAGACAGCTCAGCTGACGAGTCCAAACTCATATCCACCTGATGACGTCACACATTGACCTTATGACATCACACATTGACCTTATGACGTCACACATTGACCTTTGTTAACGCTCCTTTGAGCTGTTTGACCTCAGTTTGGGATCCGAAACCAGTTCATTTTTCCGTGGTTAAGTCAATGTCCTAATTTGCAATCTCGCTGAAGTTCCTTATTTTATTTCAGAATAAAAGCAGGTTTGTATCCAAACAGGAAGTGAAGCAGCCTTAGCTTAAGACAGTACAAAAATTCAAAATAAGAGCATGACCGCTCTGTGATGAAATACAAAAACATACTGAAATTTAAAACATGCGATCAATTGCCTATAAATATTGAAATTAAGCGAATAAACATAATGTTAAAATGTAATCGTTTGACAGCCCTAGTACCTACATAAAGATATATTCAAGCATACAGGCAGAGTGGTTAGTGCAGAGGATGATTAGTCCAGTGTAGTAAAGATTTATCTAACGAGGGGAAAGTGAAGTATGGTTTTTTTATTTTTTAACCACAAATAAATATACAAAAATATTGCAAATGACATTGTACAAGAATATATATCACATATATGACTGTACAAAATATAAAAAATAAAACATGAGAATGTGGGGTGCCTGGTGTCCATAAACATGATTGACATACGGGCCCCATTTATGACACCTTTCTAATTGTCTGTGCAGCCTCAGAATTATTCATTTGTGTTTCAGGTGTCCTTCAGTGACCAGCAGTTTCCTCCTCTGGGCCCCTGGATCCTCCACCATGTTTTATAAAAGTTAGGCCCCCCATCAACAACCCCCCCCCTAGCCCGAGGAAAAAACTCCTGAATACCTACGCATGCAAGGAAACAGGAGAAACCTCGGGTTAAACCGTGCACAGTGAGTTTCTCTCTCCAGGGACAGCTGGGCGTTTGGATCAGCTGCAGTGTCAGATATCATGGACTATGTTGCTCTGTTCATGCTGAAACTGGCAACTCATGAAGTTCATCAGGTGTCTTCAAATGAACCTTGTTTTATTTCTATTTCTGCTTCAGAAGAGGTGCAGTGGGAGCCAAGCATGGGGGTCGACTGCAGCATTAATCCAGGGCGAGGGGGAACTGGAGATGTACTTTAGTCCCTCAGCTCCAGTGATAGTCTTTTGGGGTCCAGCAGTGGTCCTCCTGTGGTCCTTTGGGGTCCAGCGATGGTCCTCTGGGTCCTCCTGTGGACTTAAATTCCCAGTTTGGGCTATATCAGCCATGGGTGGTTCCTGAGTGTCTCCAGGGTGGGTCTGTACTCTGGGATCTTGGACAGGCAGCTCAGCAGGAAATTACAGCAGTCTGTACGGACAAACAGGAATCATGTGAAATACAAACACTGACCTTAATGTGTGTTTCACCATGTTGAATGTTTGTGTTGATGACTTACCAGTGGAAAGACTTTCCCTGATGTAAGGGTATCCGTAGACTATGTCGGGTTTGCTTTCAAAAGGGACGTCTTCATGCAGCAACCCAAAAATCACCACGCCGAGCTGCCACACTGTCGCTGGTTCAGCCCGGTACTCCTTGTCTGTAAACCACTCGGGGGAGGTGTACTCAAAAGTTCCTGCAATGCACACAGTGAAATATTCAAAGGTTAGAAACCAAAGGTAGAGGACAGAAACGGCAATAATGCAAAGTTGAAGCTCAGAAAAAAACGACAAAAAAAAGAAGCTTTCACACATGCACTGCAGTCCTTCAGTAAACCCTTCAGACTTTTTTTCTGCTTTTCCCAGTAAATATTGTAATGATATTAACCTATAACAGTTCCTTTTACTGAATTCTCCTCCTGCATGCTTTACCAATGCAACCCCATTAAACTAAACCAAACTTCATGATGTAAGAGACAATCTCCTGTGTGTGCTGCAAGTCCTTAATGCCCGGAAATGATCGAAAAAATGTGTTAAAACCCTTTGACTTCCACACTAAGAAATCCATTCCCAAAAAAATTATTTGTTGGTAAAATTGTGTTCCTGCCTCTTCATTAAGCAACATTTCAGGTTATATTTTTCAGATTACTCAATCAGGAAGCAGATATGCAGGTCAACCAGCTGGTTGCCTGTTTAGGGTTACTTTGGATATGAATGGATTTCTTTCATTTCTGCAACAAAATGTTTAGTTTTTTCATATGTAAACATCACAGAGAGTAGAACTTGTTAAAATAACTTATAATTTATTCAACAAATTAAATGAGTAGCAATGGTTAGAAAAGGTGAACAAAATAAGAAATGAGTGACTTGAGCCAGGCCGTTTGCGTAGACTGGCAACTCAACCGAGCTGTTAACCATGTTTTGTGAGGAATCGTAGATATATATTTTGTTATCAATTTATTTCCTTCAACTAAAATATGATTGTTAGAGGGTCTATAAATGATATGTGAATATATATATTTTTTTTACCCAGACATTTGCTCTTATTCTGTGAGACTTCTGAGGAGCTGTGCAGCGCAGAGTCACTACCGGTATTTTCCACAGTTTTAAGACAATGATAATTATGTACAGCAGCGCCACCCATTGGACATAATCTGTGTTACATACACTATTCAATGAGGTGAATGAGGATAAACAGACAAAGATAGGTTTTCAGAGTTTTAAATACAGCAATATGGCGGCGGAAAAAAGGTCAACCGCGGTTACAATGCAAGTCAAAGGGTTAAAAGAGGCTAAAGGGGGATGGTCTACCTTGTTTTGACTTGTATGTCCCGTCACTGAGAAATGTGCTGCAGCCGAAGTCAATTAGCCGGACACGAGGGACTTCAGAGCCGGTCTCGACGAGGATGTTTTCCATCTTGATGTCACAGTGGAAAACTCCTCTGGAGTGTATCTCGATGACAGCATCCACCAGCTGTTTAGCAAAGACCTGATGGAGAAAGACCGAGACATTAGGACAGAGTGACACGGACACAGGACTGACTGAAACACATTCTATACTTACCTTCGCCTCGTGCTCCTGCAGGCCGGATCCTCTAGAGTTCATGTAGTCTATCAGATCACAGCAGGGGACCGGTCTCTCCAGGACGAGGATCAGCTCGTCGTCCAGGTCGTACCAGTCCAGCAGGGCCACGGCTGCACGGGTCCCCGATGCTGCTGGTTTGACTTTAAGCATTAGCACCACCTCCAGAGGGACCATGCTTATTTCCCCGTCTAGAAGCTTTTTAGAGCAGAAGAGGACACACTTAAAAAAGGTAAACAGTTTTTACTTTATAGGTGAACGAGGAACATTTACATCGTGATGAAAAAAAAGAAATGAGTCTGGAATTCAAATAATGTAGAAATATGTTAGCATGAAGAAGAACTTACCATTGATGTGCGCACAATGCCAGACTGCCGAATGTGTTTAATTGCGACCTGCAAAAAAAAAGAGACATCTGGTTAGTTCAAAGTATATACAGAGAGGATATATGAATCAATGTGTGTGTGTGTGTGTGTGTGTGTGTGTGTTTTGAAGATGTATTATTCTTACAGGCAGGTTGTCTTTTCTGCGGTAGCCAGCAAAGACTGACCCGAAGCCTCCTTCTCCGAGCAGTTTCTTCTCTTTATACTGGGCCTCAAAGACGGCTGCAGACACAAAATGCAAATGTTGACAGTTTAGCGAAAACATTTTTTCAGAAAAGCCTCTGATTATATTATATTCATAACAGAAAGTTACGAGAGCAGAATCCCTCACAAGAAAGTGAAAAGTATATTTCCCAACATATCGAGCTGTATGTTGAAGAGAGTCCTGAAACCCTAAAGAAATAACTTACATTATTTATGATTATAAAATTAATTTAAAGGTATTTCTGGCCATGGTACCTCTGTCATTAGAATGGGCCGTGTCTTCAGTTGAGGACGGGACTACGTCTTCTCTGCAGGACTCCTCAGCGGGGGTCTGAGCGTTGGTTCTGCTCCTCGTCCTTGGACCCTCGGTCTCTTCAGACTTCCTCTTTCTGCTCTTCCTCCCCTCATCTTCTGTTCTGACGCTGATTGATGTGTTGGACGTGAACGTCCCAGAATCCTCCTCAGAGAAAGATCCACTGAAGATGGAAGTGTGATCCTCGGCAGGAATGGGGGTCCCTCTGCTCCTCTTTTTTGGACCCTCTTCAGTGTCAGCAGTGGTGGACTTCCTCTTGCTGCTGGTCTTTATCTCCAAAGTGTCCAACACAGCAGCAAAGTGAGGCGGAGAGAGGCTCAGGGTTTCTCCTGAACGAGCAGAGACAGAGAGGAGGAGAAAAGGTTTGAGCATGTTAATCTCTGAGGTCAGCTCGATGTGTGTTCACATACCGAGACTTTTAATGTGCATTTTTCTGTGGATCATCTATGAATCATATTGAAGGTTTGAATACCCTGAATATCACATTTTAGACATTAAGTTTAGCCGAGAAAAGCTGAGTATAAAGTAGTAAACTGCAGCTGCTGTCTCTAAATAAATCTTCCTGTGAAGAAATTAAAAATATACCTCCTCTTCCAAAGGTAAACATTGTTTTCTCACAGACATAATCACCGTTTCTGTCATTCCTCATCTTACCTGTGCTGTCAGACGTGCAGGAGTTTACTCTGAAATAACCGTTGGAGCAGTCACTGGATGGAGGCCCGCTGATGATGTGCAGGCTGCAGCTATCGCGGGAACTTTGACTGCTCCTGTTTGACTTTGATCTGCAGTTTTCCTCTGCATAGAAGACCGGTTCAGAGTGGCACCCTGCAAAATCAGACAATTCAAACTGTGTTTTTTACATCTAGCCTCATCATTTTGTTAACATATAAGTCAGACCTGAGAAAAACATGTTTGGCTTTACAGTAAATTTTATTATGATATCTTTAAATTTGAATGTATTTATTTTAATGGGGACAATGCAATTTAACATAATTTCAATAAAAAGCATATAACTGATGTGCTGCATAAAGAGTATATAGCTATTGCTGATTGCTGATTTCCAACTCGTGTCCCCAGTTGGGCCTTTGTGTAAACAAACAGATTAAAATGTAAAACATTTGGTTAGATTAAACCCCATAACACCACATGAGGATACATTAAAATACATGAACAACAATACAAATGCTATAAACCAGTTTAAAATAAAGTTTTAAGATACTATTTAAAAGTGGGTACAGCTCTGGCTTGCTTTGAGCATTTCACCTGTTTTGTAAAAGATATAAAATGTAAGGCTAATCTTCACTTTCAAAATCTGCTCGTCGATGTGATTCTCCTTTTTTGCAGTTTCACTTAAAGGTGGAGTCAGAAGCATTTTTCATTGCAGCTTGTAAACACAAAATTCAATCTGGGCCCCTCCTCCTGGGCTCATCGCCCCCTGCAGGACGTATTGTGTACGTTTACTGCTTGTAGCTACACTGCAAGCTAACGCTACCTAGCACAAGCTAACTGCCGGTGTTTGTCACCTTCCTGTCCAACAGGAAGTAGACCAACTCCACGTCCACGGGTAAAAGACAACACAAGGTTCACCCTCGTTTTAGAACGACCTTTATCCACTTGTTTCTCCTCACTGTGATTATATTTTCTCTTCTTTGCTATTACGTCCGCAACCAGCATTGATTGTATCTGAGTGCTGCCATTGGCTGGAGGAAACGCACCAGCTCCCCAACCCAGAAACGTCCCGAGTTAACCAAAACAAATCGAAACATAAAAATACATTAAGAGGACACGCTGGTCACCACCACACATGTATGGACATTACAAAATGAACAAGTCTATATATTTATTATAGAAAATATCAAACAGTCATCTGAACTACTTACTCAGCTGTTCTCTGGATGGCGAGCAGTGAGCAGTGCTTCTTGCTGTTGAAGATTTGAACGCCATGATGGCTCTTTAACAGTTTGTGCTTTAAGGTTGAAACGTCGAGTGAAAATGAAAATCTTGGATCGTCGTTGACTCTCGAAGTTGTGCTTCACTGATGAAATGTCGAGTGAAAATGAGTAGTTTGGATGGTTGAAGTGTGAGTTCTGTCCTCTGGAGAGGCGGAGTCAGAATGTTTTGACCGGATGATTATGACCTCACAACGACCTCGAGTTCTACATCAGACTCTAGAACACAGAGTCGATTCTACACACAGATTCAGAAGTAAACACATCGTATGGGTTTAAACAAAAACAACAAAGTTGACTGGTGTTCTTCACACATGGCATCTCTCATGACCTGTGGACACTTATGATATCAAATAAACTTTTAATCATTGATTCTATCGCTTGGTGGAAACGATCCGTTCCTTCACTGTTGGTTCAAAGTGTCGGCAGGTTGTGCTTCTCTATACTGTCATACAAACACTAACATGAAATGATTAAAAATGTCTACCAGTTTACTGTTAACAGTTCATATCCAAGTGGGCCATCAACCCTCAGCGGCTGTGGCTCAGATCTGGGGGGTTGGGGGTTCGATCCCCAGCTCCTGTAGTCACAAACTCAGTGTGTCCTTTGCAAGACCCTTCAATTCAATTTCAATTCATAAACCTTTATTGGCATGGATGTTGAATGAATAATTTTGCCAAAACAAGACCAGTAGTGATCAATGATGATGCATATTAAGTAATAATCCCACTTAACCCTAAACTGCTCCCGCTGCTTCGTCAAAGGCGTATGAAGGTCTTTTACCTGCTCTTTTCTAAAGTGTCTCGAGAAAACACTTGTTATGAATTGGTGCTATACAAATAATGGTTGATTGATCGACTTCTACCATCGGTGTGTGAATGTGTAGGTGTGACCTGTGAAGAGATATGAGTAGTCAGAAGACGAGAAGCAGCTTTACAAGCTCAAGTCCAAATGTAGTGCAGATGACACTGATCACAGATCCTCTGTTATTTACATTCACTTCTATTATTCTCTGTCTGGATTCAATGGGCGCTTGTTTTCTCGATGTGATGAAAATATGATCATGCATCTTAGTATAATATCCTTCTGATATATCTAAACATTCAGTTAGAAACTAAAAAGGGAGCGAATTAAATCTGTGTACCATTCCTTCATTCTTTTTTTGATGTGAGACCAAATGGAGGAAGGTTTATAACCAAGATACCACAACAACATGGTGCTAGTCAGGAGCTGTGGCCATGGTGTGAAGCTCAGGATGGATGTGAGAGAGTGAGAGGCTGACAGCCCGATCTTAAATAGCCTACACCTGGGAGACCCTTTCCCAAAAGTCACAGCTCAGTATGCAGTGTGGACTTTTTAGTAGACTGAACCCTCGTGGTCATTCTGTAGGCATTTTTTGGGTCTCACATGGATGCTCAGAATACAGCTAAACATTCAGTATCACCATTAATGACATTTTCAATGATGTAAAAAAACACCATTCATTTTGAATATAAAGAAAGATACAAAGAGATAATGAATTATTCTCAGTCATAAGGGCATCATACCAGAGGTCAAAGGCACAAACTAAATGCATGTGATACTTCCCACGCAGAGCCTGTAATTTATGCAAACACATAATACGGTGCAGCTCACAGAGCACAGATAGTTTCCTAGAGCTATAGCGGTGACAAGATGGAGATGAGGTGAGAGATTCAGTATAAATAGTCATGATAAAAAAAAAAAAATCGACCTCGAGCTGTTTTCATGTTCATGGAAAAAACTTGCCTTTCCACACATGAAGCACACGGGATGCAGATGCACAGAATTATCTATTTAAGACCTGTTCTCATCTGATGCACTAAGTGAGGAGTGCAAGTGCACAGGACTTCAGAACAATGACTTCTGTTTCACTGAAAAAGTACAGAGCAGCTACAGCACATGCAATTTCTAAATCTGTGTACAGTAAACCTGGTGCGTCACACACAAGAGGATCTTGTTAAGCTCATACGGCTTGCGGGTAACGTGAATATAGCATGCAGGGTTAAGTGCTACGAGTGGTTGGAAGACAAGACGAGCACTGTTGAAGTTACCATTACCATTTAAAGTCCACTGAATGTCCAGCTCAACTAAGGGCGCTTTAACATTAGGAACGATTGCTCCCCACTCTCCTCTCCCCCCGCTGGTCTGCGTTCACATTACTGACGTCTGTACCCGAGAACACTTGAATGTACACAGTCCGATACAGCAGGTAGCAGGGGGCACTCGTGGGTTTGCAAATCCGCTGAAAAGCAGAAAGAAGAAGAAGCATCCATGGCAACCACTCGCAGGCTGAGTCAATCCTCCTAACTATGGATGTTTTTGTCATTTATGAAACGCCAACAACGACCCTCTTCCTACGTCCACATCTACTTTGCAGCTCAGGGGAAGAAACCGGGCCGTGCTGCGTGGATATAATGTTTTGTGAAGCTACAGGAGACGTTAAGAATGACGTCATGTAGCGGACCACTTCCTCGTTTGAGTACGGTTGTGTTCACATCTCCGCGGACCGCACTCGAGTACACATGAATTGTGCCAAAGACCACCTCTTCAAGCGGACTCGAGCACGGTACCCAAGTAAACTGGTCGACTGAACCGGACTTTGGGGTCAAGCGTACCCAGATCCGGGCTTGGGTCCCTAATGTGAATCCACCGTAATTCGGTCGATTTTATTAGCATTAAAAGCAACGCGGTCCTAGAACAAAATGACTTTCCTCCTGCATCATGCAACGTGAATCTGAGATTAAAGGGGGTGCAGCTAAAGTGACCGGCAACAGCAATATAAAAAAAAAAATGTGGGTGTTATTGGTCCCACATGTGATCGCTGGTGAACAGAGTGGTCACGTGCACCTGTCATGACCATCCGATAATGATGTAATAAAGACCGCCTGAGTCACTGTTGTCATTTAAAGCCTTGATTACCTTCAATTGAGGGTGCAGAAATTTAAAATGAGGATGCGTCTTTTTGTAGAACGGGGCCTGATGTGAAGCCTCCATGTATCGTCCAAACAAGTTCAGGTGTGCATTCTGTTTGCTTCTTTGTGCAAACGATCACCTTCTCAAGTTTTTTTTTTTACAAGACTGCTTTAGACTAAACCTTTGAAAGCCTTTCTGATGATCGTAGAAGCCGAATTACTGTAAATACAATTTGTAGTGAAGGTTTTGGCACCTGCTAAACCATCATTATCATCATCATGGGTTCTAAGAGCAAGGCCATGGACTAAAAATATCTTAAGTTGCTAAGAGGAAGCTAAAGTCTGTTTTAAGTAAACGTTTCCATTGCAGAAGAACCTGGAGGGATTTTAAGACGTTTTCCAGGTTTTCCACACCGCAGTCGATGGGCAGTATCTCCCAGAGTTAATCAAGCATTAGCTCCAATAAATCTAATGCAACATGATGAAATCAGATATGAAACAATGAAATCTGTAAAACTGATTAGTACTCATAACACAGTGACCATGTAATCAAACAAAGATTAACTGATTAATGAGAGGCAATTAGGGTAAAATGGTTCAACATTAGTTTAAGGCTAACATGCACACCGACCGTAGCTGCAGGTTAATCACCTCCGTAATGATAACAAATAACTCACAAACTGAACAAAGTCGTATAGTTCACCTTTTGGCCTCGCTGTAGAGGGGGCAGCAGTAGAGAAAAGTTCTTCTAAGAGATTACTGAAGTACATTTAATTCACTGTGTAATTTAATTATCAATTCAAAGTGTGTCTGTTCTCAGTAAGTCCCTGAACACCTCTAATTTCAAATAAATGTCACGACTCATCTCCGCGGCTCTCTTTTTATCTTTTATAAAAGAAATGTCTGTTGGAGAAATGTACGTCCCCTCAGCTTATGAAGACCTTTAAGCAAAGAGTCACTTATGATCCTCCTTTATTCTTCTGATCTCAGTTCAAGCAGTTTTGTAAATTTGAACATTTCTAACCCGAGGCGATGAACCCAGAAACACCTAACTTCATGTGTAGCGTCATGACGAGAGAAAACCTGGAGCTGCTTCATTAAATGAAGAATCGAGGAAGGTGCACTCTGACACAGATCGAGGGAAATGTAATTTTAGCTTCATAAAAATGAAATAACTTTTCAAGTGATATGTTCTCTCTGCTTTTTGTTATTCTGTACCATCATACTTTACCAACTCGCAATGAATTCTGAGATTACCTGCCAGTATCAATTCTCATTTCTGACATCATGTTTGTCATTTAAAGAAATCTGCAACTTTAAAGGAGCAATATGTAACTCTGACACCTAGTGTTTAAAATGGGTACTGCAGTCCAAATTCTAAACATTATAGAGAGCTGTCTCCCCCCGCCCCCTCCTCTCTAGACGCGATGCTCTCGCAGGTCACCATGTGGTGGACTCTGAAGCTTCAGTGTTTATCCAGCTCTGCATGGGTCTGTAAACCTTTCTGTGTTCTAACCTCTCTCCATTTTTCAAAAGCATCTCCAATATTGATCCTAGTTTGAGCACGTTTCTGCTCGTGGAGCTTATTAGAAACATGCAGAGGCTTTTTAGGTCGGGTACAATCACTTCTATCTGAACCACTTCTCTTGCCCGCTTCCATCGCTGCAACACCTGTTGACCTGATAACTGCTCTCATATCTGACAAACAGAGGGGCGTCCAAAACGGCCGTGTGGGGGTGTCTTAAAAGCGCCTACCTTCTCTGGTCCAAACAAATCCAGAGCATTCAGGAGCAGAATCTAAAGTTAGAAGGAGGACATACTGGCTGCTGCATTGTAGTCAGAGAAGCCAGCACTTCAACATAGACTATGTCAGATGGGGGGGACCAGGGGTTCTTTTGAAGTCAGACATGACGGAAAGAACGAAGCAATACATTCCCCTCTACGAGGCTATAAGGATGCTTTTATATCAACGCTACGAGTAGTTTGACAGAATCAAAATACAAAAGAGTGGAGAGAGAAGAACATACTAGTGAAAATGACTAAATTCAGCAGTTTCATAACA